GAGGTGGAGGAGGATGAGGAGGTGGAGGTGGCGGAGGCGGAGGAGGAGGAGTAGGAGGAGGAGGAAGAGGAGGAGGAGGAAGAGGAGGAGGGACGAAGAGGAGGAGGAGGATGAGGAGGCGGAAGAGGAGAAGGAGGAGGAAGAGGAGGAGGAGGAAGAGGAGGGGGAAGGAGGAGGAGGAGCAGGAGGAGGAGGTGGAGGAGGCTGAGGAGGAACAATAATACTAATATGAATAGTACTCATAAGAGTTATAGTTTCTTCTGCATTCCGGTAATAAGAATATGAAGAAAAAAAGGCTACCAAGCATAACCATATCAATAACAATAAAACTAAGGCTACCAATAATAATCAGGAGAGTAATGAGAAGACGAGTAATAATAGTACTACTAGTAAGGAAACGAATCAGAATAGTGGAACTAACAATTCGCCTGGCGAAGGACCCAACCATCTGCAGGTGTGAGTGCCGCAATTGTGATTCACTTTTTCGGTGGTGATCCCTATGAGGCAACGAACCGTGCTAGGGGTGTGCCGAAATGAGTAGCGTAAAACACAAAGCGAACTAAAACGATTGATCTGAGTACGTAGGGAGGCCGAACGCGGGTGAATATGAGCGCGAGCGCGTCTGACTGTGAAAGAATCTGCGTGCGAGCGAGTCTACGTGCATGAGTGTGAGTATGACAACGCATGGTGTAATTGTACATGAATGTCAATCGTTTGAGAAGGGCTGCTCTGGGTACTCGTGACGCTGGGCGTGGCCGCCGCAAGGAGCTTCCCCGGGGCTCCCCGGCGGCATCGCCCGCGCGCCGCGACGCCAATGTCGGCGCGCCCCCCGCGATGATCGCGCCCGCTCCCTCCCCTTCTTTTAATTCCTCTTTGCCCGCGCACTCAAAAGTCCAAGGCTGCGGGCGCAGCGCAGCGCGGAGTCCCCGCGACGCGCGCAGGTCGCCCCTGCGGGGTCCCAGCGATGCGGCGGGTGTGCCGAAATGAGTGGATGGGGCGCATGCAGGCCGTGCCATTGGGACCTTCGGCGGAACTCATGTGGGGCCACGAAACGTGTGAGGGGTGGGCCGAAATGAGTGGCGGGGGCGCATGCGGACTGAGCCACTGGGACAATCGACGGGCTTCCTATGGGGTCACGAAGCGTGTGAGGGGTGTGCCGACATGAGTGGCGGGGACGCATGCGGACTGTGCCACTGGGACCTTCGGCGGGGCTCCTATGGGGCCACGAAGCGTGTGAGGGGTGGGCCGACATGAACGGCGGGGACGCATGCGGACTGTGCCACTTGGACCGGAATTTGTGGCGGGGACGCATGCGGACTGTGCCACTTGGACCTTCGGCGGAGCTCCCATGGGGCCACGAGGCGTGTGAGGGGCGTGCCGAAGTTAGTGGCGGGGACGCGTGCGGACTGTGCCAGTGGGACCTTCGGCGGAGCCCTTATGGGGCCACGAAGCGTGTGAGGGGTGTGCCGAAATGAGTGGCGGGGACGCATGCGGACTGTGCCATTGGGGCCTTCGGCAAGGCTCCTATGGGGCCACGAAACGTGTGAGGGGTGTGCCGAAATGAGTGGCGGGGACGTATGCGGACTGTGCCACGGGGACCTTCGGCGGAGCTCCTATGGGGCCACGAAGCGTGTGAGGGGTGTGCCGAAATGAGTGGCGGGGACGCATGCGGACTGAGCCACTGGGACCTTCGACGGGTTTCTTATGGGGCCACGAAACGTGTGAGGGGTGGGCCGCAAGGAGTGGCGGGGACGCATGCGGACTGTGCCAGTGGGACTTTCGGCGGAGCCCCTATGGGGCCACGAAGCGCTGTACTGGGTGGGGGAGACGCATGCGGACTGCGCCACGGGGACATTCGGTGGCGTTTCCCGTGGGGCCACGAAACGCTGTACTGGGGGGGGGGCGCATGCCAACGGCGCCATTGGGACCTTCGGCGGAGCTCCCTATGGGGCAACGAAACGTGTGACGATGATGACGATGATGATGATTCCCCTACCTAGGCTCTGCCTAGAAGGGTTCTTACCGTGTGTGCTTAGAAAGGGGCCAGGCAGTGCAAATCGCCCCGGGCGGTTCCCCCAGTATCCGCCCCGCGGTTCCCCCAGTTGCGCCCCCCTGGCTTAGCGTTGCTTATCTCATCTTAGCTTAGCTTAGCTTAGCTTAGCTTAGCTTAGCTTCGCTTAGTTTAGCCTAGCCTAGCTTAGCTTAGCTTAGCCTAGTATAGCCAAGCTTACCTGAGTTTGGCTTGGCTTCGCTGAGCTTAACTTAGCTTAGTTTCGCTTAGCTTAGCCTAGCCTGGCCTAGCCTAGCTTAGCTTAGCTTAGCCTAGCCTAGCCAAGCTTACCTGAGCTTGGCTTGGCTTCGCTGAGCTTAACTTAGCTTAGTTTCGCTTAGCTTAGCCTAGCCTGGCCTAGCCTAGTTTAGCTTAGCTTGGCTTAGCTTCGCTTAGTTTCGCTTAGCTTAGCCTAGCCTATCTTAGCTCAGCTTAGCTTAGCTCATCATAGCTGAGCGTACCTTAGCTTAGCTTAGCTTAGCTTAACTTAGCTTAGTGCAGCATTATCACATCATAACATAGCATAACATAGCCAATCATATCATAACATAAGCAAACGCAAACACAACAGCAACGCAACAATGACGCAACAACAAAACAAAGGCATGATCATGCACAGCAAACGCAGAACCAACGCGAACTTGTAGATGTAGATGTAGATGTAGATGTAGGTGTAAGTGTAGATGTAGGTGTAGATGTAGATGTGGATGTAGGTGTAGATGTAAAACAAACTCAAGCAAAATCAACAACACAAGCAACGGAAAAGCAACAGCAACCGCAAACGCAAAAGCCTAGGCAAGGCAATGCAACGCAAACGCAATACCAATGCGAACGTGTAGATGTAGATGTAGGTGTCGGTGTTGGTGTGGGTGTAGATGTGGATGTAGTTGTAGATGTAGATGTAGGTGTAGGTGTAGATGTAGGTGTAGATGTGAGTCTCGCTGTTGATGTTGATGCATATGTAGATGCAGGTGTATATGTTATTGTAGCTGTCGGTGTAGATGTAGATGCTGCTTTCCGAGATGCTCCAAAATCCCTTTATTTCTTCTATTTTTTTTAATTTTTTTTTTTTTTACACTTTTTTTTTTTATTCTTTATTTTATTGTCTAGGTAGGGTCGCACTGGGATAATGATGATGATGCTGATGATGCTGATGATGCTTGATGATGATTGATGATCCATATCATGCTGCTGCTGATGATGATGTGATGAGCTGATGATGATGATGTGCTGATGCTGATGCTCATGCTGATGATGAGATGATGATGATGATGATGATGATGATGATGATGATGATGTGATGATGATGATGATTGATGGACGAGAGGAGGGGGCGCGAGGGAGGAGGAAGGAGGAGGAACGCGGGGCGACCGTCTCTTCAAAACGAGGGAACCCAACACCACAGGGTGGTCGGGAAGAAGAACTTTGACCACAAAGAAGAAGGAGAGGAGGAGGCGGCAGGAGGAGGAGGGAGGAAGAGGAGGAGAGGGGGAGGAGGAGGAGGCGGGAAAAGGAGGAGGAGGAGGAGGAGGAGGAGGAGGAGGAGGCCCCCCGCCCTGGCCCCCTTCCGCGCCCAAAACGGTCTCGTGCGTGTCGCTGGCTCACGGTGCCGAGCCAGGCGTCCAACCTACGCTCGCTGTGGCGCGACGTGCACATTAGAACTCTTTTTAAATTTTCAATACAAATGTGGGATACACCGGTTTTGTTTTTATCGTTTGGTTTCGTTTTTTGTCGGCTACACACCTCACTTTCTTTCTTCAGCATGTGGCGCGACGTGCGGCCATGTCTGCGGGAGCATTCATCGGCGGCGAGCGAGGGGGGGAACTTCGAGGTTCGATTTTCGAGGTTCTAGATTTTCTTAGCCCCGAAATCGCGTAGCGGTTTGGGGGGCAGGAGAATTTGTGGAGGAAAACAACGGTGCCACTTCGATTCTGGCCTCGTTGCCTGGGGATTCCTAGCAGCTCTCGCATGGCTCGGGTACCTCCATGTGGGGGTGGTAGACTTGGCTCTCGCTGGTGGGTCTGCTTACACGCCGTATCTTGCGGACGGTGGCTCTCTGTCCGTCCGTCTGTTCGTCGTCCGTCTGTCCGTCTGTCTGTCTGTCCGTCTGTCCGTCTGTCCGTCTGTCGGTGGCGTCCTCGTCTTGTGTGCCGTGGGTGTCTGCTGGCGCCACGGGTTCGACGCTCAGGGCGTCTCTGTGCGCAACGTGCGCTTACACGACTGAGAGGCGGATCCAGTTTCTGGATCCCCCCTTCGCGGTTGCCTCGTCGCCGCCGCGCGGCTTGGTCTTTGACCTCCGCGCTGGAGAAACCTCCGCACTGGGGGGATCCAAATTAGGATCTCCCTAGCACCGAAGCCGCAGGCGAATCCACTCGGGTTGCAGGGCATTCATTTTTCGAATGCCTCACGCCACGAGCAGGCCACGATCGAAGACCGGCCTGGTCGTCTACGCCGACTTTGGCCTTGGTCCATCCCTATGACCAAAGGACCCAGGTGCAACCTATCCTCGGCGGTCTTTGCTTTGGGCGGAAAGCCCTGCAACCCTGGGGCCCAGACCAAGGCTATCTCTGTCGCCCACGACGACGCTGGTTTGGGCGAAGCCCAACGACCAGCGGGCCCAGGTGTAACCCAGCCCTGTGCTGTCGCCGGTTTGGGCGAAGCCCAGTGACCAGAGGACCCAGTCGAAAACCGGCCCTGTCGTCTGCGACGACGCTCGCTTGGGCCAAGTGGCCAGAGGTACCAACCGAATACCGGCCCCCGTCGTCCACGTGCGGGTACCAGACCGCAGCCGTTGAATAGCAAGGGTTTGCCCAACAATGGCAGCGCAACTGGTGGCCAACGCACCTGGGTAACAGGTGACGAGATTTTCTGGTTGCCGACTTGCTGCTCAACGCACACGCACGCATGGGGGAAGGCCGCGACGCCCTTTTCCCAGGGTCCTTGCCCCGAGGGCTAAGCCTCGCAGGGGTCTGCGGGGTACTTCAGGTGCGCGGCGGCGTCCGCCATATCTGTAACTGCTGGGACCAGGATCCTGGTCTTGCTAGGCTGATGGGCCGGCATTCGCTCCCCGCCCCGTAGGGCGGCCTTGGCTAGGCGGCGCGCCGCCACAACCGCGCAGAGACCTTCGAGATCATCGATACGTGCGGGCCCCCGCAATTCACATCATCATTCATTCTCTCATCGCTTCCCGCATTCAAAGTGCAGAACCGACAAGTGAGGAGCGGAAGGTGCCGCGTCGATCCGCGGAGCCCGTGCGGCGCGGTGCTTCTGCGGGGCGAGAGGGTGCTCTGGGCTTTGCTGGTGGCCCGCTGGACGTGCGCGCTCTTCTGCGACGATAACTGCGCTTCGGGTTTCTTGTTGTTTTTCCTCCTTCTCCCTCCCTCCTCCCTCCTGATGGGGCGCGTGGGAAGATGACTGCGTTTCGTCAGCGGCTTGCCCCCAGGGGCTTTCTGTTGAAGGCGACGATGACCGCGCTTCTGCGGTGGGCCTTGGCCCCCACTGAGGTTCGTCGGCGGCAAGCGTGGAAATTTCGCTCGTGGAAGGTGGCCGGCTCTCTCCCCGGTAGACGAGGGATGTTCGCGAACGCACAGGTGAGTACTGTTGCGGGCGAACACAAACAGTACTTGGTTGGGTGAAAGGCTGACAGGGCAAACGGGCGAGATAGTATTGCAGGTTGCCACGCAGTGTCGCTAACGGAATGCATGTCCATCAATGTCCGTTCCGCTGCCGCATAGGTTCAAAGTTTACAGGTGTGGCTCGATTACCTGCAACGATATTACGTTTGGCACGTTTTGTGTCTCACAGTAATTTTAAGTTCTGTTACGCCAGTTTCCATCATGGCGGCCCAGTTCACTCGTGAGGAGATCCGCGCTGACTTCGCGGGCGTGCCGGAGAACGCCGTTAACAAAATCGACGCGGGCGGGCGCGTGCAGTGGATGGAAACCCACTTTGACGTGGAGCCCCAGGCGCGTGCGAAGCATGATCTGCGCTCCTACACGGCCGTTGGGCGTCTTCTCGCCGATGTGGTTTGCAGCGCCCAACCAGAAGATTTCGCAGATGACTACCTTCGCGAGGTGATCAAAACCAATTTCAAAGCGAACGATTGCCCTTCCAGTGCGGAAGGCGATCCAGCGAGCTGGAAGGCGCCCGAGATCACGCCAGCCATGGTCGTGTTTGCTTTGCGCGTCCAGGGCCGCTTCGCCCAGGCACTGGGGACCGAGGCAGCGCAGAGCTCTAAAGGTGACCAGCTGAAAAACGGCGCGCTGAAGGACGCACTCGCAGAGTTCGTGACATGTCAGGCCGAGAAACAGGCTGCGAAGTCGAGAGGTTTGTCACTTGATTGCGCCAAAAAGATCGGCGAGGTTGGCTTCTCGTCCTTTCCGCCAGAAGCGATGCCATCGGAGGAGTTCCTCACCGATTGGGGGGTGGCCGCGGAGGTTGCCGCTCATAAGGGCTGCATCTACGTCGGCAGCGCCGACGCTGATGACCTCATGGCGAGGCTCCGGCCGGCTTGGGCGAGGTCTCCCCCAATCGATTTGCTTCCGAGCGGAGGTGCTTGTGACGATCGCTTCAAGGCAGCGCTCGACACGGGAAAAGCGCGGTCCGTGGAGGAAAATGTGGGTCACCACGGTTTCGCGACCTTCATCGGGCACTTGTTTTCGTGGGGCTTCAAACTCGTCATGATGAAAGCTTGCAGTCAGACGCACTTGCTGTCGTGCGTGTTCATCCTCGCCCGCGCGGCGGAGCAGTGTGATGGCGTGGCCACTGCCTGTCCGCTACGATGTCGAGGCGAGGAGGGACATGGCCGCGGAACTGGGGCGCAAAATGGAGACCCGCTTCGTTGGCTCCTAGAACTGAACGAAGATTTCGCCAGAGCTTCCCGGCCCCCAGGGGAAGGGTCAGAGCAGCGAAAGATAAGGCGATGGCCAGAGCAGGGGGAATGGCGAAGTTCACGTCCAGTGCGGGCTCGTCGGCTCAGGGCAGCTCTAGCGGGCACGGTCGCGGGGAAAATGGTAAGGGTTCCGGCAAGGGTGGCAAAGGTGGTACAGGCGCCGCGCTCCGGCCCCAACGACACCGCAGAAGCGCCTGGGAGCGGCCAGTGGCGCCCAGCGTGGCCACTAGAGGAGCCGCAACAACAAAAAGGAATCGTGGTACCAGCAGGGGTGGTATAACACGGGCCGGAAGAACAAGTTAGACTCCCCCGAGAGATGCGCGTCGGACGACGACGCAAGCAGCACCTGTGCAAGTATTCCGAGCGAGGGTAAAAGGAGACAGAAATCTCTTGGCGGATTTTCCGCTTCGAGCAATGCTGTCAATTCTGTGCTAGTTGATTCAGTTTTGCTTGCTTCCAGGACGTCGCGGGATAATCTTGAGTGGGCTCTTGCTCTGCTGGCTTCTGAAGAGCCCGCTGCAATGCCGCCAATGCTAGTTGGAGCGTTGCAGCGGGCGGAATCTCTAACGCGTTCTAAATTGCAGGCGCGCCTCGCCGGCGAGCTCCAGTATTGGGCCGAGAGAAAGCGCGTGACAGACCCTGCGTGGCGGCAGACATTTGCGCGTTTGCCTGTGCGCTGCCAGTTCGTGCTCGGCCCGGATAAGGTTATGTTTCTTTCAGCCGAAATGCTGGGAGCGATTGGATGGCCGGATTAGTTGCCGATTTAGCATGTGAGGCGTGGCTTTCCGTCATTCGAGGAACAACCGCGATCGGGCATTTTGCTGCGCGTGCCTTTCCCGCCTTTGCCGCGCGCAGCGGAATCGCTCGCTTGCGAGCGTGGCGCGCGCAACGCGGCGACGCTGCGCGGGGCGCGCGGGCCGGCCGGCGCCCGCCGAGCTGTTGATGAAGCGTTTGAGGCCAATGTGCCCAAGAGGTAGTCGAGAAGAAAGCGCGGCGGACGCGGCTGCATCCAGCCGCGGTGGGCATCTCTGCTCGGTTCCCAGCCCTGGAGGGTGGGGGGAGAACGAGCACGGCGTTGCATGCCCGAAAGTCCGTCTCATTGACGCTTCACGGGTCCGCGCATGAATATAGCAACTGCCGTTTGGGAGCCCGTGCCAGCGGGCGCGCTGGATACTTCAGCGACTCCCTCTTTGTGGCTTGCCCGCGGCGATTCCGCTGAATGTTAGATCATGTTCGGGAAAGGATTTCAAGGGCGCGTTTAAATCCCCGCCGCCCCCGTGAGAACATTTGCCTTTCGCCGTTGACGTGGCGGAGCGATGCGGAGAACGGGAATGGTCTACAGTTGCTCTGTTGCACTTTTGGGTCGCGGGCGTCGGTGCGTAGCCTGCGTAGGCTCAGCTCATTTTTGCAAGCCGTCTTAGCGATTAAACAGGCCTTTGCGCACCCTACATTCGTCGATGATTTATTTAATCGCTTCGCTCATTCCGCCGGCCCACATTGCATCGCTGGTGCTATATGTCTGTGTGTTCGCGGCGAGCGAGAGGGGGGGGAGGAGGAGGATGAAGAGGGGAGGATGAGGACGAGGAGGCGGTCTCTGGACGGCTTCTTGGAGTATTTTTGGGGCCAACCCTGGTCGTGGACAAGATGCTTCTTTGGGGGGCTTCGTGGGGTCTCTTGGGAGGCCTTTCGGGGCCTGTTGGATGTGTTTTCGGGGCCTCCTGGGGCCTCTCGGGGGCCTCTTGGGGCCTCCTGGGGGCTTCTTCGGGCAAAGATGTCGAAATGCCCGTTCGGGCCCCCCGTCTGTGCCCTCTCTTGGAGCCGTCTTGGGGGTGTATTGGGCCGTCTTGGAGGCCTCTTGGGCAGTCTTGGGGCCATCTTGGGCCGTTTGGGGGCCCTCTTGGAGGGCCTCTCGGGCCGTCTTGGGGCGGTCTTGGGGGCCTCTTGGGGCGTCTTGGAGCGTCGGAAGCTGAAAATGCGAGAACGCCAAAAACCTTCAAAAACCAATGGAAAATCAACGATGTTTGCTTCTTGGGGCCCTTTTTGGAGGCCTCTTAGATGCTTCTTGGGCCATCTTGGAGGCCTCTTGGGCCGTCTGGAGGCCATCTTGGGCGTCGTGGAGCGATCTTCGGGCGTCTGGGGCCCCTCTTGGACCATGTTTGGGGCCTCTTGGGGCCCTCTTGGGGCGATCTGGAGCCCTCTTGGGCTCCGAAACAGAATTCCGGCATCTCTGACCCCTAGTCTGCCGGGGATCTGCCGGGGATCGCCCGGGGTACTTTTCGCTCGGGGACCCCCAGGGGCCGCCCTGCGCGCGCGAACTAGAAGCATTGTTTACCTGTTACCGGAGATCTTTGCACGCCCTGGCCCGTTGGGCCGGCGAATTTTCGGCAGGTCGCTCCCGAGTGAATCGCGGTGCACTCGCGGGCCCGTCAGGCGCGGCGGCGCGTGCGCAGCGGCTTATCCAGCTGACCGGCTGGGAACTTGAACCGAACGAACGGGCGCGGGTGCGCCGCATGACTTCGGCCGCTGTGCTGGGCGTCGAGGTGCGTTCCGTGCCTGGCGCTATCATTTTCTGAGGGAGAGTGGCCGGCTGCGACGACCCGCGCGCTCAGCGAGGACATCCTTCGGCCGGCCGAGGCACAGCGTCTGACCGGGCGGCTGAGTTGGGCCGGCAGCGTTTTAGCAAGGGCGCGCGTGCGTATTTAGCTGCCTTGCATTGGCAAGCGCGCCGGCGCTCCGGGGCTCTTGCAGTAAGGGTTCGGGCGGCGCTTCAACGGTGGCGTCGTTTTCTCGGCGGTCTGCCAGCGCGCTGGGCGTTGCTGGAACTGGCCATTGCGCAGCGGTGCGTGGCGCGCGCAGATGCTGCAGGATATGGCCACGTGGCGGTTGCCATTGTACATCCCGCCTTTCGCGCTTGGGGGGCCAGCGGGGCGCCCCGAGAGGCGTGGGCGCGGGCGCGCCCGAGGCGCGCGAAAATTGTGCTCCGGGAGCTGGTTGCTGCAGCGTGTGCCGTGCAATGTTTGATCAGGCAAGGGTTGGCGGAATGTGAGATTTCATTGTTCGTTCGCAGCAATCCTGCCTTGCGCGCGGTCGTGCGCGGAGCGAGCCGCCAGTCTGATGTAAATGGCGCTATCATTGGTTTCTGGTTCGAGGTCGCGCGCGCGTATACTGTTGCATGTTTTCCCGCCCCGAGCAAACTGAGCGTTGCCGACGGCCCCGCGCGGCGGGATTCTTGGGGCGAAGCTGTTTTCGAATGCCGGCGCCGGGGCTTCGGGGGCTGGAGTGGGTTTGGCCGTCCGCGTTGCCCTGGCCACCGTGGCGCTGGGGAGAAAAGAGCACGCGCGAGGAAAGTAACGTGATGAAACCATCGTCGGGTCCATCGTGGCGGACCCGGACCATCTCGAGGGTGCTCGGAGATTGCGGCCGGGCGCCATCGGTAACGCGCTGGCTCAATGCTGAATTTCGGTGGCGGCGCCCGCGCGCGAGGTGGCCTTGCGGGGGCCGATGGCAGCCTGCAAGTGCGGCCAAGGGCCGCAAGAGGGCCACGGGAGGCACTGGAAACTGCCCTGACACAGTTTCTCCGGCGCGCAGCCGTTATTGCGAATGTCTCGCGGGATGCGTGCTCGGTCGAGCGCGATCTTCGCACGGGGGGCGCAGTCGCGCCGTTTGATTTTTGTGGGCATCGCGCCAGGTGAGGCCGTTGAGGTGTGGAGCTCCTTCGACGGGGTGCCGCTGTCCGTCGTCGGCGCGTTCTTGGGCCTTTGCAACTCGCGCGATCTCACGGTGGCGAAAGCGAGCGTTCCCCAGCCGCCGGGCCCCCTGCCGCGGCCGCCGCGCGGGGCCGCTCAGGCGCCGCCCTCGGAGCGACCCGGCGCGGCAGTTCACGGCCGCGATAATGGCATGGCGCGGGCTGCTTTGCGCTCGTGCGCGGCGGCGCGGGCATCTGGCCGGCTCCCTGGGCCGAGCGTGCTCGCCGACGCCATTGCTGCAGTGGCCAGGGCGGGCCCGCGGGCGACCCGCAACCCTCCGGGAGCGCCGCGACAGGAGCTGGCGCGTATCTCGCGCGAAGGCGTTGCGCTGAACGCGACGGCGGAGCCGGCGGCGTGGCTGGAGTTCTGCGGTTGGAATGCCAGCGCTGCAGGCTATGCGTCGGCGGTGAGGCTCTACGCCCGGGTATTTTCGGGCCGGGCGAAAGGGGGGGATTGGGAAGGGGGGGGTTACGAAATTTGCTGCATGCAGGTGGTTTCGGCCTCACCGAGGGGCCCATCATTCCTCGATGCATGGCGGCGTCTCCGGCGCCGGGAGGCGCCGGGAAAATCAGCTACGTGAGCTGATTATGAAACCCCCCCTTTGCTATCCCCCCCTTTCGCCCGACCCGATATTTCTCCTCCGTCAGGCGCCGCCGTGGCTTTCGTCGCAGGTCTTGCTGAATTTAGATACCTGTTTGTTCCGACGCGCGGGTACCTTGGCGAAGTATGTGTCACATCTTCGCACTGCATTGCTTTGGTAGCATTGCCCCGTGGGCCCCCCGGCGGACGCAGCGCGCGTTGTTCGAGGGGCAGAGGGGGCGGGTCGTGCACTGCGGCGGCCGCGGGTGCGGGCTTCCGCTGAGCAGACGAAGGTTTTGGCACGGTGGTGTTGCACCGGCGGCTTCCGCGACGTTGGCTAGTCCTTCGTGGTGGCGCGTCAGTTCTGCTTGCGCTCCGGCGAGGTCTTGGAGTGGGGTTCCGCTGCAGCTCCCGTATGTGTGTGTGTGTGAGTGAGAGAGAGTGGTAAGGCGCGCAATGTGGTTGAGGTCGGAAATGCTGTTCCGAACCTGTTGTGGTGACTCGCGGGTGCACATGCGAGCTGCAGTGGGAAATACTATGTGGCGCGTGCCTCACTGCTGCCTGGCAGCAACCGGGGCGGGCTCCGGCAAACCGTGTTGGGGATTCTGTTGCGTCTAAAGTAGCACCGCAGAATGCAAATGCATCAAGCAACCGCGTGGTTTTCCCAGGTATGACATATGCAATTTTCCTTACTGTGTTGAAGCTTGCCGCCAAGGGTTGCGGCTTCGCAGATGCTGTGGCGTGGGGAACGCATGCATGTCGTAGAGGTTGGGCCACCGAGTGCTTGCAAGCCAATGGTCCAACAGCGCTGTTTTACTCAGGCGGTTGGCGGGGGCTTACAGTGTTTGCTTACGCTTCCGCCAAAGCGCGAGGCTCGGTCGGTGGCTGAGGCCGAGTCTATGGCGAATGAAAAATTCCTGCGTGCATTGGGTCGTTGCTCCATTGCAGTAGCATTTCGCATCGCGCAGCTGCCTGGCCCCACCTGCGTGTATTGGGCGTCCTGAGGGGTCTCTCTCTCTCTCTATCTCTCTCTCTCTCAGGTTGGCGCCAACTAGCTGCACGTGTTCTGTCGCGCTCAACGTCCGTGCGAGAGCGCGCGCAGCAAAACTGTTGCGACGCGAAATTTTCTTAGCCCCGAAATCGCGTAGCGGTTTGGGGGGCCGGAGAATTTAAGGAGGAAAACGGTACCGCTCCGATTCTGGCTTCGTTGCCGGGGGATTCCTAGCAGTTCTCGCATGGCTCGGGAACCTCCACGTGGGGGTGGCAGACTTGGCTCTCGCTGGTGGGTCTGCTTACACGCCGTGTCCTGCGGACGGTGGCTCTCTGTCCGTCCGTCTGTTCGTCGTCCGTCTGTCCGTCTGTCCGTTTGTCGGTCTGTCAGTCGGTCTGTCCTCTGTCGGTCGCGTCCTCGTCCTGTGTGCCGTGAGTGTCTGCTGGCGAAAGGGGTCGAGGACGCTCTGGGCGTCTCTGTGTGGCGCCTTGGGCGCGCTCGGTGTGTTGTTTTCGGGCGTTTTAGTAGTTTCTCAGCTGCTTCCCGCCCTCATGATGCGTCCCACCGGCTGCGCCTCACCGAGGGTGTTCTGGGGGTGCCCTTATCGTCCTGAACGCCCTCCGGAAGCCCGAGTTATGACCCGCCAATCACACTCGGCTGCGATCGAGGGGTGGAGGTGAGAAGGAAAAGGATTTATCAGAAGGCGGCCGGACTTTTTAGAAACCCCCGCGCCTTCTGAGAAGTGTTTGTTTGTGCTTTCGGGGGGTTCAGAAAACTTTTCAGAAGGCGGGGGGTCTCCGAGCCTTCTGAAAAGGCCCGCCCCTTCTCTCTTCCCCCTGGGTTCGCCGCCGAACTCAGGCATCAGATCTTCCAGCAGCAATGGCTGCCCACTGGACCCAAAACCAGCGAGACATGTTGGCCGCATTTACGCCTGCAGCCGTCGTGCTTCCGACGTATCGGATTCATCCGTGTGTTCCACCATGTCGTGAACGCGATGCAGTTTTTAATGTGTCTGTCTTAACGCGGCAGCGTGTATACAATCGGTGAACCTGCTGGGTAGGTTTTCACAGGTCATTCGTTTAACCAGCTTCGTTCGCCAAGCCAGCGCGTGACAAGGTATGTCTTCCCACCGAACTTGTCAATTGTACACTACAGTCAATGGTCAATGTTTTTTGTCCTCTGGACTCCAGTGGCCAGGTGGAAAAACGACGACAAGACCGTCATGGTCAAGAACCTGCCGTCGAACACATCCGACAAAGATGTCGGTGACTCAGCGGTACCGAGCGAAGCACCTGACGGGCACTGCCTCGCAAATGCTACAAGTCGCGCTCATCTCCTCCGCCGATCTATCATTACTTTTTCTGCTGCTCCGCATTTGCGTCATATGTGCCACAGTGTCATTACAGAGAGAGAGAGAGAGGGAGAGAGTGAGAGAGAGAGAGAGGGAGAGAGAGAGAGAGAGAGATAGGAAGAGCGAGAGAGAGAGAGAGGGAGAGAGGGAGAGAGAGAGAGAGAGAACAAACATGGGTGAGAGAGACAGGTAAACAAGCTATATCGACTTCGTTCGTGGAGTAGGGGTAGGGGCAGGAGAGAAGTGAGACGGGAGAATGATGGAGCTGGTGGTGGTAGTGGCGATGGTGATGATGATCATCGGAGAGAAGCGGCATACACATACACTTTTTGCGCTCCTCGCGGATTGATGGATCCGCGCTGGGCCACCTTGGCGGCGCCTCTGGCGCCGCCCCTAGCGCGCTCCGCGCGCCAGGGGGGCGGCTCCAGCGCAGATCCAAAGCATTCGCGTGGAGCGCCAAACGTTTAAGTTCATGCCGTGTATGTGTTATGCCAATGTGCGTTTAGGTTGTTCATGTCCTCCTACAGGACGATTTCTGGAAGAAAACAAGAAACACCACAATCAATAGTCACACAGTATGCAAACAATAGTAGTAGTATTATTGTTATTAGTGTTAGTATTAGTATTATTATTATTAGTCTTCTTATCATCTTATTATTATTATTATTTATCATTATTAATATTATTTCAAATAGCCAACATTGGTTATACCATCGTCCACAACTTTATTATCATTCATATTATTATCATTAATAATATTCATATTATTCAATGTTCGGATATGTATCAATTCAGAGGGGTACCCCATCCAGGTATCCCAGGGCCAGGCTGAAGACAGAGAATGAAGTCTTGCACCGTCGCCATAATTTGGCTCAAGAAATATAGCTCCTCTCCTCCATCGTCAGACATCGGAGGAGGAGGTATGCTTTGCATGGTAGCGCGGAGCGAGATCTGATCCACGGCAATTCTGCTGAGTGACTCCAGAGAGTCACGGGTCAGTTGCTGCCATGGAGCAGCAGGTGCAGCTGCAGGCGCAACAGATCGCGGAGTTGAGAGACCTGCTGCAGAGGCAGACGCAGGAGCTCCAGAGGATGGCCGCAGCACAGCCTGCAGCACCAGCGCAAGCAGCAGCACCAGCGCCCCCTGCAGCGCCACGACGGATGGAAGGTATCCTTGACAGCAAGATCGTGGGCAAGGTCAAACAGTTTGATGGCCAACGCTCCTCGTGGAAGACCTTTGAGTTTCACTGGAAGGCCTATCTAGTGGCCAACGACTTTCGCTTCAGGAGGATGTTCCAGGCCATCGGAGATGAACCATATGTAGCTATGCTAGTGAACGACGTAGGCAGTGTGAATAATCCAGACTTCGAGCCTCTTTCCAGCCAGCTGTACTTTATGCTGGTGCTTGCGATGCCCGAGGACAGCACGGGTGAGAGCATCCTCTCCAACACCGCAGAGGGCGAGGGCGCCCTGGCTTGGAAGAAGCTCTTGAATGAGTACGCTCCCAACGAGCCTGGTAATATCGTGGGACAGTTTCGGAAGATTCTTGGCACCGTGTTCCCTAAGGATGCGGACATCGTCACCGAAATCATGAAGCTGGACAAGGAGATCGCCCGCTATGAGAAAGCGAGCGGAGAGACAGTGTCAGCGAATATCTCTCGCGGTATCCTCCTAGGCGCTCTCGCAGAGGAACCCGACCTCCAGAAGCACTTGTTCCGCAACCTTCGTAGCCTGCCCACCTACGCCGATATGCGAGCGGAGGTGGTGAATGCCCTCGCAGCCCAGAGGAGCGCGAATGAGGATGCCATGGACATCGGTGCGCTCAAGGGCGGCAAGCCGAAGGGCGGCAAGCCGAAGGGCGGCAAGGACAGCAAGGGCGGCAAGGACAGCCAGGGCAAGAAGGGCAAGGGCCACGAGTCCCAGCCCTCAGAGAAGTGGTGCAGTTACTGCGAGAAGCCGAACCACGTCCGCTCCGAGTGCCGCAAGAAGGCTGCGGATGATCGGCGACGTGAGGCAGATGGGGCCGCGACGAAAGCTAAGCATGCCACAAAGGAGCGCCAGAAGCAGCGGAGGGCTCAGGCGAAGGCTGGAGCCTTGTCCGCTGGCACCGTGCCGACACTGCCAGGTGCAGGGACTCAGGCGCCGCCGTCACCACCAAACCCAGGTGCGCCAGGTACAGCGCCATCCTGCGGCGCGAGCAGCGCGAGCACCATCCCTGTAGGGCTGCGAGCTTTGACCACGAGCTCGGAGGGCACGTCCAGCACCATCGCCCCCAGGTTTGTTTTCGGGCTGGAGGCGATCGAGGCCGAGGAGAGGCAGGCGACCATCGCGGTGGTTAGCCACAAGCCGAAGGATGCGATCATGATCGACAGCGGTGCGCAGATCTCGGCGATGCCCGGCAAGATGGTCTACGACGCGGGCTACGCGACCCAGAAGTCGAATATCCAGGAGCTGCGTGCGATTGACGGGGGCAAGGTCCCTCACCATGGCCGCACCGACGTCAAGATTCGACGCGGAGATGCAGTCCTGCAGCTGGGTATGGAAGTAGCCGACATCGCAGGTGCCATCACGAGGCGAGGCCAGTCAGTCCTGCACTCGCCGATGGGGGACTGGATCGTGGATGCGCCGATGCTGCCGCCCGACGGCGCCGAGGTGATCAAGCTGAAGAAGGAGCGCTCGGCCTGCTACTTGGAGTTCGACGAGCTGCTGAAGGACGGCCAGAACGCCGAGCAGAGCAAGGTCATGGCGGCTCTTCGACCGCAGGAGCCTGAGGAGGCCCAGAGATGGGCGGATTTCCACACGGACCCCAAGCAGGATGTGGGCATTTTGGCTGCCGCACGCAAGACGCTGGCGCCCACGACGGTGCTTACGAGTACGTATGCGGCTCTTCCTCGAGTGCTTGGTCCAGACCCTTCGGAGAACGCCGCCCTGAAGGCGAAGGAGCTCACGAGACCAGGACAGCCGACGGCGCAGGAGAGGCGCGCCCATGCGGCACACCACCTGCCGTTCAGGCCTTGGTGCCCCGAGTGTGTGATGGGGCGAGGCCGTGAGCAACCGCATCCGAAGCATCATAACAGCCCTGAGCTTGACGCGGACCAGGTGCCGATTGTGGAGATGGACTTCTTCTTCGCGGCCACCGACGAGATCGCGAGGAAGTGCCCGATGCTCCACGGCTACGTCGCGAAGCTCGTCGAGGCCAAGCGCATCCCCAGGGACGAGCGGCGCACGATGATCCCTGTGCTGAACATCGTCGACGGGAGGTCGAATGCGCTGGGCACGCTGATGACGAACAAGACGGTCGGGCAGTACAAGACTCTGTACGTGGAGAAGCTGATAGACTCGTGGGGTCACACCACAGTTGTTCTACTTACTGATGGCGAACCCGCTATCGTGGCCATAGCCGAAGATGTCAAGAAGCATCGGAGCCATGGCACCATCGTTCGTAAAGCCGCCGCGCATTCTCATCAAAGCATGGGGCGCGTGGAAGGCGCCAACTCTCTGGCAGCGGGCCTCTTGAGGACTTTCAGGTTCGCTCTGGAGAAGCGGTTGGAAGTCACGCTCGACGCCGACCACCCGATCCTACCCTTCGTGACGAACGCGATCGGCTGGTACATCACTCGCTTCCAGCCGCGGGAGCACGGAGGGTCCTCCTGCAAGTTTCTCTTTGGCAAGGAGTACGATGGAGAAGTCGCCGAGATCGGCGAGCAGGTTTGGTATCGGATCGGTGGGCGGATTGCCAGCGGCCAGGGCAAGTACGAGGCCCGCTTTGCAAAAGGCGTGTGGGCAGGGAAGTCGGAGTTCGACGACCAGCGCCTAGTCGTGGACTTGCAGCGCGGGCTCCTCAAGGTGCGCACGGCGCGCCGCATGCCCGAGGAGTTCCGCTGGTCCGACGACCTGCTGAGGCAGATCAGTGTGACGCCCTGGGACCCCGCGCCCGCTAGGGCCAAGGGGACTGCGAGGCCGAAGGGTCTCTACATCGCAGAGAGGATGATCGACAGACATGGACCGACTTCAGAGTGCCTCAAATGTTCTACAGGACGAGGCCAGCACTCCGATGCGTGCAGGCAGAGGTTCGAGCACATCGTCCAGGAGGAGCTCGAGCGGAGGCTCAAGACTGAGGGAGCCTCGCCAGCGACACCTGCGCCGCCAGGCGTGATGCCTGGCACGCCCGTGCTTGAGAGCGCGCCTGGTCCAAGACAGCGTTCGCCGCTTGAGGACCGAGCGCCGGGCACGCCGAGGCCAGGGGCGCAGGTGCAGGAGGGCACGTCAGGCCAACATCCCCGGCGCTCTTTCGGGGACATCCCAGACGCGCCGATGGACACCACGGACGATGCAACGCGCAAGCACATGATCGAGGCGGTAGAGACCGAGGACCAGAGCGGCAAGCGACAGAGGATCGAGCTTCTTGGCGTGAGGCCTGAGGTGACCGTCATCGCGGGCCTGTCGGTGTGCGAGCTCGCGGTCTGCGAGGCTGACGACTGCGAGGAGTACGACCCCGTCTGGGACCCGATCCCCGCGCCAGAGAGCCGATGCGACGGCAGATGCCCATCACATGGAGGACGGTGTGCGCTTCGAGCTGGTCACCGTGGGGGCTGCGCCTGTCGGCTCTGCCTGATCCACGCTGCGCGCGCCGTGGAGGCCCCGAGCGCGGTGGTGGCGGGCCTGTACGCCACGTGGGCTGACGGCCTGGACGACGAGGTCGAGAGCCCGCAGATGGTCCACTACGACTACTACTCAGGCGAGCCGCTGGACGAGGAGCTCTACCAGGAGGGCAGGCGCGACGAGTTGGAGGCGATGCGGGAATACGGCGTCTACTCGGAGATCCCCATCTCGCAGTGCCAGCCAGGCGGGAAGCACGTAAGGGGCTTTCCGATCGCCCACATGAAGGGCGACAGGGTGCGCTGGAGGTTCGTCGCGACCGAGGTGAACGACAAGCACCGCGAGGACAACCACCAGGGCACGCCGCCGCTGATGGTCATCAGATTGATCATCTCCCTCGCAGCGTCCAAGCCCGACGCTGACGGCGTGCACCGCCGCCTGCTGCGCGTCTGGGACGTCCGCAAGGCGTTCTTCAATGCGGACTTGGACGAGCTGATCTACGTCCATCCAGGCTGGGAGCTCTGCCCGAAAGGCTTCTGCTGGGTCCTGCACAAGGCGATGAATGGGACGAGGAAGGCCTCACAGCTCTGGGGCGAGACGAGCAAGGCAGCGATCGACGACGCTGGAGGCAAACCGCTGATGGGCACAGCTGGCACCTACCACTTCGAGAACCTCGTGGGCGACGGCATGGACTCCACGATGTGCTGCCACGGCGACGACTTCCTGGCGGAGGGCCACCGCGACACCATTGACGCCATTGGCAACTTCCTGGAGGAGAACTTCGAGGTCACCGAGTCCGAGAGCATCGGCCCAGGTTATCCAGGTGAGCTGAACTACTTGAAGCGCGTCGTGGGCTACTCGAGCGAGCTGCCCGAGACCAGGATTCCAGGCTTCTACTGGAGCGCCGACCCGAAGCACGTGGAGGAGCTCATCCGCTGGGGCCGCAAGTCGGGCTCCAAGGCAGCGCCTACCCCTGGAACCAAGGCTGCGGGGGCAGGCATGCGGAATGCCCTGGACCCACTGCCCGCGGCCGAGGCCAAGTCGACCTCGTCAGCGGCGGGACTGAGCCTGTACGTCTCGAGCGACAGGCCTGACGCCATGTTCAGCTCCAAGACGATCATGCAGCACGTCAGTAAGCCGAACGTGCTGATGAACGCGCGCCTGCACCGCCTGTGCCGGTACTACGAGGGCGCGCCGAGGCTGCTCTGGTGCTACGAGCTCCAGGACTTGCCAGAGGTCCTGCGCGTGGACGCGGACGCGGACTGGGCGTCTACGACGAGCCTCTTCAGGACGTCGACCTCTGGAGGCGTCGTCCGTTTCGGAGGCCATGCGGTCGAGGCGTTCGCGGTCAGCCAGGCCACGCAGGCCTTGTCGTCGGGGGAGTCTGAGTTCTACGCGATCGGCAGTGGCGCCGCACGGGGCTTGCAGGCGAAGCACTTCCTCGGCGAGGTGGGCGTCACCGTGCGCCCGGTCGTGGCCAGCGACAGCGCTGCTGGCAGAGGGATCTGCCAGCGCCACGGCGTGGGAAAGGTGCGCCACCTCGAGCTGCGGTACCTCTGGCTACAGGACCGCGTCCGATTGCGACAGCTAGAGTTGATCAAAGAAGCGACCAGTGACACGGTCGCGGACATCCTCACGAAGTACGTGGAGCCCGAGACGCTGTACAAGCACATGGCGACCATGAACCTGCGGCCCGTGCCGCTCGGGGCAATGGTGGTGAGCGCACTGCTGCCGACGGCGCGTGGCCAGGAGACGGAGGCGGGCGCCAAAGGGGCGCCCTGGCTGCTGATCGCGATGGCTCTGAGTATCGCGCTGCTCTCTTTCCTCGCAGGCTGTTGTGCTGGAGCCCGAGTGCGCTCCACCGCGGTTTGCGACGAGCGTCCAGACACGCTGATTGAGGACAGTGCGGCTCCTGAGCAGACCGCAAGCGACGGAGATGCGAGAGTGCAGCTAGTTCTCTCACGGCTGACAGTGCCTGACGTTCGAGCGACGGCTCGCGCGAACAAGATTGGCCTTGGTTCGGGCTCAGTGCGGAAGGAGCGCCTGATCGAGATGATAATCTCGGCTGGTGCGGGCCCGAGTGTGGAGCAGGTAGAGCGCCTAGAGCGTGTGCGTGCCCTGCTTTCTAAGGCTGGTCTTACCTGTTCTGTGCAGCCGCGCCTCCTGCTTACGAAGCAGGTCCTGGAGGGTCATGTGGTGCTGTTGGAGACGGCTTGCACGCCGTTGCGGAAGATCTCGGAGTGATCACCGAGACTGGAAGTAGCGATGCAGTTTTTCGGCCCTTCGCCGCTCCATGCCTGAGGAGAGGTGTTCGGATATGTATCAATTCAGAGGGGTACCCCATCCAGGTATCCCAGGGCCAGGCTGAAGACAGAGAATGAAGTCTTGCACCGTCGCCATAATTTGGCTCAAGAAATATAGCTCCTCTCCTCCATCGTCAGACATCGGAGGAGGAGGTATGCTTTGTATTCAATATTGTTATTATTGTTACTAATAATATTGTTTTGATTCGTATTAGTATGACTATTGTTATTTTCATGAGTTTGATTAGCATTCTTATTCTTATTATTTAACTATTTTTGCTTATTCCTTCTGTGCATGGACGTGCCTGACGTAAACGTGCGCAAGCACGAGATTTCTTTTTACCCTCTGGCGCAAGACGGTCGTTCTGAAGGCCACACCGCCCTTCCAGGTAACAGTAGCGACCGTGCGAGGGGGGGGGCCTGGACCCGCCCGCGCACATACACGGGTGGTCGCGCGCGGTTTTGGGGCGATCGCAGCCGCACCCCCGCCCCGTGGTGCCCCCCCCGCCCAGGTGCGGCTGGTGCCCGGAGCCCCGAGCCCCGCCACCGCCTGGGTAATGTCGGCGGCAAGCGAGGGGGGAAGTCATTCTCACAAGGCGTTCTTTGAAGGCTCGGAAGTCCCCCCGCCTCCTGAGAAGTTTTCTGAGCCTTCCCCGAAGACAAACACACACTTCTCAGAAGGCGCGAGGGCTTCTGAGAAGTCCCGCCGCCTTCTGAGACGGCCTTCTCCTTCTCATTTCCTCCCCTCGCTCGCCGCCGATAACGACCGCTACCTGGAAACAGCGAGAAACAATCTCTACAGATCCGCACGCACCTCGCTCCCCTGTTATCTGGGCGTTTTGCAGTGGTTTCGCAACGGGCGTTTTTGCGCCAGGCTTCGGGCCACGGGGCCGTAGCAGAACGATGCGGTTCGAAACGTGCAGCCGAACGACGGTGTCCTGGTGCGGCAGACTCGTAACGTGCTCGACGTGCGCCATATTCGCCATGTGCGCGACGCGCGCGGAGTGCGCCAGGTGCGCCAGTGCACGAGACAGCGAGCATCGGCTCACATGTCCACACCCCCACCATCTCTGTCAAACAAGCAGCTCCGAGGTGGCCGGCGGGGTGATCCGCACAGTATGTGGTGTATAGTTATTGCTTCGCAGCTAGGCTGCATGAGTTATTGTATCGGGGCTGTGTGGCAGCGCGCAAGGGGATCTGCTCACGCCCCCGCCGTCCCTGGCAAAGGCCAATGCACACTGCTCGCGGGGGGCGCCCGCTGACGGTCCAGATCTTGCAGCCACGTGTGCACCGTATTGTTATCCGACGGGGGGATGAGCGAGGGGGGCTCAGTGCTCCTTGTCGGCGGTTGGTGGAGGCGGGGAGGAGGTGTTGACTCATCAGGAGCGGTGATAAGCCTTCCCCACCCGAAGGGGAAAAAGGGGGTTTGGAGGAGGCGACCCGTTGAATTATTCTTGACGCTTCGCTGGCTCAAGCCGTCTCGGCTCGAGCACGCCCCTTCTCAGGTAATCCGCAAGCCGCACTAAGTGATAATCTGAATTTTGACCCCCCCTCTGTGGCAGAGGGGCTCTAAGATGGGCCCCCTCTGTCACGGAGGGGTTCGTTCTGGGTGCTCTTCTGCCACGGGAGCTCCAGATACGATTGGAGACGATAGAAGGGGGGAAATGTGATGGCGGAATGAACGATTGGAGGGGGAGGGAGAAGAAAACGATGGAGGAGAGGAGGCAGAGACAACACCGATGACATCACCGTTTCTTTTTCCTTCTCCGCTCGGGCAGCGGTCGCCGAGCACGACGGCGCGCGCGACTCGCCGCCGCTCAAGATGCAGTGGCAAAGCCTCCGCTGCTGCGGAGAGGGCGACCTTCGACTGATTAGGCTTCCCTCCGTTGCTGCGGAGGGGGGGCCCCAGTGCGATGGTTCAGCTCAATTCTTCCCAGGGATTGCCGTCGTCGGGGCGCCACCTCCAGGTGGTCGTGGTCGTGGCCTCCCAGCGCCCCTGGCCGCCACTCCACCCACTGGGGCTGCTCCACCAGTCACTGGGGCGCGGGTCGCTGCCGAATGCAACTTGCATGTCGCGCCAGGCGGCGTCGATCCTGTGGTCCTGCACCGAGGAAGCCGCGCCGCTCTGCTGTTGCCACTCGCGCCCCATCGCCTTCCCTGCTGCGCCGCCAGTCCCAGGATTTGCCGCGCCACTCATCCCTGCGCCGCTCCACGTCTGTTGAGTGCTGCCCCCGCTGCTGCGGGGGCTCTGGCGGCTGATGCCGCGGCGCCCCCTGCGGTTGCTGCTCCAGCGGCGCAGGCTCCAGCGGCGCAGGCCCAGGAGATGGCCGCTGCGGGGTCTGCCGCCACCTCGGGAGGGATAAGTATATATTTATATGATGATCTCCGTCCTGTCAACTCCCCCCCCCCCCCCCTTCCCGACACCCATTTCCTTATGTCATCCCTGGCGTTACTCAGCCTATTCGTCACCCCCCCTCCTCCCTCCTGCCCCCCCCGTGCTCCACCCCCCCCCCTTTCCTTCTCCCTTCCCCCCCCCCGCCGCGACCTTCCATCGCCAGCCGCGGGCCAGTCGCGGTCGCCGTCCGCGTTTTCGTCTGCCCATCTTGGTGGGCGCCACGCCTGTTGGGCGCGCTCGTCTTGCTCGCCCCTCTCGCGGTGCTGCTCTGGTGCCTGGCGCTCGGGTCCGTGCTGCTCGGGCGCCGCTGCTGCGGCGCCGGGCGCCGCTGCTGCGGCGCCCTGGAGCGCAGCTTCTTGCGCTCTCTGGGCGCGCCTGTCCTTCTTCTCTTTGTTCCTCTCCTGCTTCCTTCCCTGCGAACGCGAGCTGGCCATGCGCATTTGGAACAGGAGAGGGTAGTGGGCGCCGCCGCGCCAGCGCCCCTCCACCTCCACGGTCTCCGGCGGGAACGTCTTCTGCAACGCGCGGAAGAGGGTCACCTCGCGAACACTAGAGAAGCGGTGGTCCCCTCTAGCCTCAGCCTCGGCGCGCCTCTGTTTCTCACGCTCCTTCTCTTGGATCTTGCGTTGGCATTCCTCTGACTGAGTCAGTAAATCCTGGAGGTGCTCGCGGGCGTCTTTTTTCGGGTAGTAGCGATCGTAAGGCATCCCAGGGCCTCCTTCCTGCCAGTGATGCCAGTACGTCGGCTCCGATGATGGGCTGGTGGAGGCCCCCGCTGCTGCGGGGGCCTCTGCCTTGCTTTTGTTCCGGCGCCCGATCTCACCGATCACCGACTTGCGCGCGAAGGCCGGCGCCGCGGCTACCGCCGCCGCCGCCGCCGCCGCCGCCGTGGTGGAGGCGGCCACCGCGGCCGCCGTGGCCCGCGCGGCCGCCCTGGGGCCCGCCGCAGCTGGCGCCGCCGCGGCCGCAACAGCAGCAGCTGCAGCAGCCGCAGCAGCAGGGCTGCATCAGCAGCAGCAACAGCCGCAGCTGCAGCAGCAGCATAACCCAGCAGCAACAGCAGCAGCAGCTGCAGCACAGCCACAGCAGCAGCAGCAGCAGCAGCAACAGCACCCCGCGTCTGCAGCAGCAACAACGCCCCCCTCAGCAGCCACAGCAGCCGCCGCAGCACCCACAACCACAGCCGCACCACCAGCAACAGGTGCTGCAGCAGCCCCAGCAGCAGCAGACCCGCTCCGGGGACGAGGCCCGCGAGACCTCAAAGAACCCTTTCTGACGACCAGAAGGAGGTACCCCTGCTCCCTAACAGCCTCCTGGGCACCTCTGGGAGCCAGCAGAACCCACGAGAAGACTCAGAGGTACCCTTGCTCCCTCAGCAGCAGCAGCAGCAGGGCAGAGAAAAGGAGAGGGAGGCCGCGGCGGAGTCGGCGGGGGCTGCGGAGGCCGCGGAGTATCGGGGGCCCGAAGCGGCGGAAGCTTTTGAAGGTGCGGAAGTGGTACAAACCTTCACCCGTGTCTCTGGATTAGAACCGAGTGGGCAGGGGTTGGCCCCCGAAAGTGCTGACGGCAGCCGCAACAGTCAGCTAGGCGATCCCGGAACAGCAGGGGTTCGCCTGCCGCGCCGTGCCGCCCCCTCCTCCCCTTCAAAACAATCAGACCGTCAGCAGTCCTCTGGGGGCGCCACAGACCCAGCAGGGGGGCCGCGGACCAACCGTCCAGACGCAGGACAGCGAAGCCATCCACTGGCTCGTCGGGAGAAACCCCTCCGCCCCTATTCGCCCCCCTTCCCCTGCCAGTGAACCCGCTCTAATGGGCGGCGAACCCCGAGCGCTCCCTCCAGACGTCCAGGGCACGACTGACAAAGAATTCTGCGCTCTGGCAACGGAAATGGCGTCGCCGCGTGCGCGCGCGCCTGGCGCGCCCAGCGGCGCCCCCGAGACCAGCCAGAGTCCTGGAATGCACGGCGGCACCAATGGCCAGACCCGCGCCAATGGCCAGGGCCCACGGACCCCAACACTGGACAGCAGCTGCACAAAACAGAAATCGACAACACCCAGTTGGACTTTCCCGGGGAGACACCCGGCGAGGCGATGAGGCGGCTCCAAGTCACCCTGGGAACACTGTTCACAGGCACCTGGCACGCTTTTCCCAAGCGGCAGACCGCGCCCGGCAGCAGGGGCGCGTTCGATCCGCTTCGGCGCGACCCGCGAACCTGCCACGTCTTCCTGGGATCTTTCCGCAGCCACAAGTGCGACGTACGGGTCGTCAACGACGCGCTGGGCCTCGACGTGGATTGGAATCGGCTGTGGCATCCGCGGCTGGAACGAGCTGGGATCGCCACGTGGCAAAGGGCCACCCGAACGCCCAGGCACCCAGGAAGGGCAGAAAACAGTGGCGGGCCGTCTCCCCACAGTAGCCGTTGCTGCCCCGCCTCGTGGCATCGCACGCGCGGGGATCAGGTGCGAGGGGCGCGGTCACTTGCAGCAGGCCCGTTGCTGCCCAGCAAAACGCGGCCTGCGGCATTGGGGCCCAACGTGGTTTTTCAC